GAGAAGAAATGTAGAAGGCACAGAGGACAGTGTATAAGGAGGTTGAGGGCACAGACTCTGGGATCCAGTCTCAGCTCACTCACAAGCTGTGTGACCTTGAGAACAGTGTGTAAGCACTCTGTGCCTGTGAAATGTACAATTCACCGTGTTGTAGTGAATGCTCGCAGCGAAGGCGAGGAACGTGCTATACCGGTGACTGGCCTTCAGAAAATGAGGCCCTATTATTATCCGAGTGGAAACTGGGCATTCTCCAATGATAATGGGATGATTGGGTTTTCATTTTCATAAGTAGTTTTTTAATGAGCTGGGTATTATTTACCCTAATATTGCTGTTAAGAAGAGACAAGCGGCCAAGATATGGAGTGAGATGGAATTTCTATAAATATGTTAGGGAGTTAGGCAGGTATTGAAAAGGGGGAATTAAAAAGCTGGGTGCTTCTGAAAAGAGATGGGAACGTGTCTGTACCTGGCTCACTTAGGGAAACTGATCAGGGCTGTGGGTATCCGGGGAATAGCAGCTAAATCAGGGACATTGATGGACTGCAGGAAGGAAAGAAAAAAAAAACAATTTCCCACCTGGGGGTAAAGAATAGCAAGGGCCCCAAAGAGAAGATATTTAGATCCTTAGGATGTTAGAGGAAACCAATGGATTTGAAAAGAAGACCTGGGATGAATTCTCCGTGCCACTTGCTCTCACTTTGCCTACCACAAAGGTTTATCATATGGATTTAAATAAAACAAGGAACGCTGGAAATCACACACAGTGCCTGGAGGACATGGTGTGTGCACAATAAATGTTGGTTCCCTTACCGTCCCCTCTCAATGTTGCAAGGATTTTCTTTGAACACGTTGAGAGAAATCGCTCTGTCTTCAGATGGGGCTACAAAGATGAACGAAGAATGTAAATTGGAAAGGACGAGAAAATCCTGACCTATGTGTGAATATGCGTCCAGCTGAATATAGAAGCATGAGGCCTGCACCTGTAAGTTGCCTAATTTGTGTACAGTTGGCACCCTGAGATCCCGTTAACTAGAGCAAAATAGTCTGTGCCCTTGCGACATTTCAGATGTTCCTCGGGAGGGAACAGTGAAGAGAAGCGCACAGAGATTTGCATCTTAGGAGCTGGAAGGCAGCCTTGGAGGTGCAGATGATAGATTCTGCCGAAGGGTTACCAGTGGCCACCCGGCACAGAAACGGGTGGTTAAATGAGCCCAGCATCCTGTTCTGCCACTAGACATCACGACCTATTGGCTCTCTAGATGTCAGAAAGATGCTCTATTTGAGCCGAATTCGACCTCTGCGTCTTCTCTGTGTCTGTTTTCTCATCTGTAAACTGGTTATAATAACAAGTTAGCTGTGAGGATCCAGTGAATTGAGGACAAGCACATCCTGACGGAGTTCACGGACAACGCGATGGGGTCTGCCTTGTATTCTTTTCCTCTCCCTCCTCCCATCCAGGTTGCAGGCAAATCCTATCTGCTCAGCCTTTAAGGGGGATTCAAAATCTGCCCACTTCCACCAGTGCCGTCCGCCTGGCCCATGCCACCATGATCTCTTGTTTGGGTTACTGGGATAACCTCTTAAATGTATGTTTATACCACGACAGCCATGGTCCTGCCCCGAAAACCTAAGTCAGATCCTAACATCTCCCTCTCAAGTCCCTCCAATGGCTCTTGATCTGACCAGAAGCAAAAGCCACAAGGCTGTGTGGGGAGCATGACTTGAAAGCTTGGCTCTTGGTCCCCTTGCCTGCTGTAATTTTCTTTATATACTTCTATCTGTCTATATATTTCACTTAATTATTTTGTCTTCTTCCACTAGAAAAGTAGGCTGAGAAGTACACGAGCTTTTGTCTATTTTATTCACTAATGAATCCACAGTGTCTAGAACAGTGCCTGACACATTGAAGAATGTCAACAAATAGTTGGTGAATTGAATGAACGACTGCATATAAAGTACTTAGAGAAGTTCCCGAGATACGGTGTTTAATACACATTAGGTATTAATGGTGGTATTATTTCTCCCAGATCTTGGTTGCCTTTTTGAAGAACTTCTCTGTCTTGTTGATGCCACAGTGTATCGCCCTCCAAAATACCACCTGAACCAGGATGGGGGAGCAGGGTTGCTGTTTTCAGTCTTACTCCATCTCTAATAATTCTGTTCTATCCTGTAGGCCCTTATTAAGCTTTTAGGCAACCAAAACATACATCCGTATTTAATTAATTGTTTTGTTTTAGGAGGAGTTGCTGCCACATTAATACAGGAAGGAACCGGAGTCCTAGGGTACAGAGTTGGGATCAGACACTGAGACTCAGCAGTGCTTGTGAGAGAAAGTTACTACACACCACAGCACAAATCCTGTGGAGTAGCCTTAAATCCTGGGGGCTGCCCTGGGCCATGTTTCATTATGTGGATTACATAAAACATGTCAAGTTGAGGAAGGCTAATATTTCTACTGACACTGATATTATTTATAGTAATATATTACTATATGTAACGCTCAGTAATATATGTAATATATAATAGCATTTTGCTATGAAAGTTAACAGATGAGTAAGTAAATTTTATTCAAGATGGCTGGCCCATTTTATACACACACACAGACATAAATATTGGTACATGAAATGAAATTTTCATATATTTGCATGTTTGTATATATGCATGTATGTATGTATCTGGCTATACTCTTTTTTTAAAAAAAGATTTACTTATTTGAGAGAGAGCGCACAAGCAGGGAGAGGGGCCGAGGGAGAGGGACAAGCAGACTTGTGCTGAGTGTGGAGCCTGGCATGGGGCTCGAGCCCAGGACCCTGAGATGATGACCTGAGCTGAAACCAAGAGTCAGCCGCTCAACCCACACTGAGCTGCCCAAGTGCCCCTGTATCTGGCTATACTCTTGATTGAAATACAGAATTTCAAGCTTAGAAAAATGTAAACCTAAGGGTAGCTACTTCTTTCTGCGATTAACTGGATTATAGAACTAGTGACACTCTACACATAATAAAAATGTTCAAAAATTGAGTATTGCTACAAATATTTCCTGGGATCTATTACCCTAGGCCCAGGAAACAGTAAATGTAGACTATCTATCTCTGAAAATCTGAGTGGCATACTTGTTAAACCCTTTCTTGGGAGTTGTTGTGAGGCTCATTTGCACACATACACATATATCGAAATGCTTTGTAAGCACTAAGTACTATATAAATTTAAAGTATTTTCTTTGAACAAATTCAACAGACTTACACTTTGGACAAGCTAGTCAAGGCTACAGGTAAAATAATCCATTCTTCATATTTTCAATGGAGCCCCAGCTACTTAAACATTATATTCAAAGAATCAGTAGTAATAAAATAACAAGAAAAAGAACCCGTTAGCACTTCCCACTGTATATGAAGTGAAGAGAAACGTGATGGAGTACTGACATTCATTTCACTTTGAATTAAACACAGCACCACCGCAAGTCCCAAGAGATGATATTAGGTTTTGCGTTTGGGTAATACCAGGAATTCTACAGGCAAGGGTAGAATTATATTTGGTTGGCAAGAAGCCAATCAAACTTCACACTTGTTCTAGAAGTAGGTGGTCAAAAACTCTGTTCTTGTCATCAAAGCTGTTGGCTATAGTTGCTTAAGCTATCTGAATCTCAACATCTTTTGTGTCCCGCGTTTTGAAGCTAAAACATTAAGAAATGAGATAAAATGAGGTCTAGTGAAAATGATATTAAATTGAAATTAACCTCAGGGAAAAGCAGGTCCAATCAGACAGAGCACATCAAATAGGCACAAAGAATAGAATTGATTTTCCAAGTGGCATCTTCAGACACATAGGGTCTTCGATTTTATTTCTTCAGGGAAAAAGGGCTCAAACCAAGGTAAGGAGGAGGTGCATTCAAAGCTTTCTCTCTGTTTTCCTCAAAATACATGCTGTAAATCTTCTCGAGTTCACAGTACATGTTTCAAAAGCGCCCTTCACTTTTGGTGGAAGGAAGTCCTTGCTCCTTGATATGTCTGGTTTCGCTGTAATAGTATATAATGCCTCTCTCTAATAAATTTAACCACAAAACTTTTTGAAAATGTGTCTGCATTCTGCTAATTTATAAAAAGCAGGATGCTGTCAGATAAAATTTCATGAAAATGATCTATAAACCAGACTGTCAAAAGTGAAAGGTACTCAGGCAGTACTTAGGGTTGCAACAAATCCATGGAAACCACTGGAAGGCTTTCCTGGGGCTGCAGGACAACAGTGTACTGTAACGCAGCTCACATTTCCTTGATTTGCAAGTTACTGTGAGGTCACAGGAAATCCTGAAATGTTTTCCACATTTTCTTTTATACATTTTATGTCAAATTTCCTGCAATTGAAATCATAAACCCTCCTACTGCTGGAATCTCTTCTGAAGGAAAGGAGATCTTGTGACACTCCCCCGTGAACACCTAATAAGTCAATTCCTACCAGTGTAACAAGAAACTGAAAGACAGGATTGAAAATGGACTGTGATAAGGCCAAAACGTCAGATGCCCTAACTCGTTCAAAATGAAAACCAAACCGGTATCATTTAAGACGATGCTTAAAAAGTGCATTTGATCCAGTGACAGTAGACTTTTCTTTAGAATAAGAGATAACAGAAGAAATGATAGACTGTCCCAAAGACAGAAGCTCGCCATTTCCCCGAATCTCTTCTCCAAAATGTATTTGTTGATTTACAGTCTAATTTTAAAATGGCACCTTATATATGGAGATTCTTAACATGATTCAAGCCCCTGACGACCATATTTTATGGTTTTTGCTATGCTTTTGAAAGGATAAGTCAGATTTAAGTAAAATGTCCAAGTGTAAAATATTCTCTCTCAAGATTTATCACTTGCAACTGAGGAATTTAAAAAATAGCTTTTAAATGGTCAAATACTGTTTTAATATAAATCCAAGCCGAATGATTAAGGCTCATTAATGAATACCAATTTTTCAGATTTGTTGGGTCATGAGTTATTAGGACACATTACCTCTCCTGACATATCAGGGGCCATCGGAACGGCGGGCCACAGAGATGAGTAGATGCCAAAAAACACCACCCAGAGCACGATGCTGCCCCAAATCGCTATGTGGCTGAACTGTGAAGGAAGGGAATGTGAGTCACAGACTTTTAGGGAGACTGAGTATACAAATACACACTAATGAAGCTTTTGTAAGTGCCCATATTAATTTTTTACTTCATCCATAAAATATTCTCTATAGGAATTTCTAAATAATGACGTATGTGTGTTTTAACTGGATCTTTCATCAGCGCTGATGCTAATGTCTTCCCCAACCGCTAGGATGTTTGTGGTACTGGCATTTATAACTGTTCCCTCTCTACCTCCTTTGGGGGCCTCTCTCCCCTGACTCTCCTCTTTCTTTCTCCGCTACCATCTTTAACATCCTTTATTTCTGCTCTGTACGCTCTCTCCGGGAGAGGCGAGACCCCTGTGAGAATATGTGTGTCGGTGACCGTCCAATCCAGGTTTCTTGGGCCCATCTTTCCCCTGCACATCAAACTTTCATTTCCTTTTGTTTCTTGGGTCTCTCTACTTCAAAACTAACATTCTAAAATGGAACTTGTTTTATCCAGACTGGATATTTACAAATGTCCGAGGACAAATCTTTTGCTCATATCTCCAGTTTTCATATCATTTTCCAATGGGTTTTTGGCAGAATGCGTCTTGTAACACACTCTACCAAGAAAAGATTCTTAGTCAGGTTTGGAAGCCTCTCTCCTTCCTGGGATATTCACAATAATATATTAAAGGATCTGAAAATCCTGTGGTCAATAAACTTAGGTGAGTTTTTTTTTTTTACTCACTGTTTCCAAACTAGACAAACTAGAATTCCCAGTTCTTCCCCCTCCACCCAAGACCCCTCATGATTAACAACCGGTGGAACGAGGGTACAGGGATACAAAAGTTAGAATGAAGAACAGCGATGTTCGTGATAACACATAAGTAAATGTGACATGCCTCAGTTGTGGTTAGAGATGCTCTTACCCATGTCCAATATGAGGTCTCCAATCCAGCTTTCAAACACACGGTTATCACCACAAACTAAAACAGAATGGAAAATGTTATTTTATCTCATAAATGTGTTAGTTCAAATGGTTAAAAGGAGGTTTATAAAGACCAGGTATTACACTGTGAATGAGACTGTGGGACTGGTCGATTATTCACAGCTTGCCGTGTATGTCCACCAAGCAAAGACACAGGTGAATGAGCCGGGTGCCTGCCCATGACGGCCGTGACCGGTCAGGAGGGCCCATGAGCAGCATCCCACTGCCGCTCTCCTTCCCTGCACACGTCCATCCACGAGGCTTGTGTGGATTCACTTGTGAACGATGAATATATGTCTGCAGTAACTTGGATTTTCAAGCTTGCTTTAATTATACATCATCTGTAAAACTTAAAGTCCCTACTTTCCGAATTTTCAAGATAACTTCTAAAAGTAATATAACTGGATATTTAGAAATCTAAACACTTACTCTGTAACTTGACTTACTTACAACCCTCCAGATCAGGATATAAAAGCTTGTTAATACCCTCCAGGATGTACACACCCATTATCATCGCTGACCCTGCTATTGATTCTGAAGTAAGGGAACTAGGTTTAATGAACGGCCCTGGGTTTTACAGAGGGTGGCACAAGGGTTAACTGGACTTGCCCTGGAGTCAGACTATTCGTGCTCAAGGCTCCACCATTTATTAGGTGTTTTGGTTAAGGAACAAGGCAAGTGACTTGACATCTGTGTCTCAGCTCCTTCATCTGTAAACTGGGCCTGATAAAGACCACCTGCCTCAAAGGGCAGGTAGTATAAAACACCAAGAAGAGGGCATAGCACTGTAATCTGTTATTAGCTATGTATAATTAAAAATAAAAAAATTTAAAAAAATTTTTAAAGATTTTTATTTATTTGAGAGAGAAAGAGAATGAGAGAGAGAAAGAGAGAGAGAGCACAAGGGGGGGGGAGGGTCAGAAGGAGAAGCAGACTCCCCACCAAGCAGGGAGCCTGATGTGGGACTCAATTCTGGGACTCCAGGATCATGACCTGAGCCGAAGGCAGTCGCTTAACCAACTGAGCCACCCAGGCGCCCTAAAAATAAAATTTTAAATACTGTTAGTAGTCAATGGAATTCTGGACACTTCCAGTAGTTTGTGGTGGTGGAAGTGAGAAGCTGGCCTATATGTTCAGGCTTGCAAAGAGCATTAGCGCCTTCCCCACGGGGTCAGAAAGTCAGGCTCAGGTGAGGCATTTGGGCCTTCTCAGCAAGATCTCTAACGGTGATTTAGGATTAATATCTGTAGAAGTAAAACTCTTATGAAAATGTAAGTACTTGTTAATGAGCTATATAAAAAGTTCAAAACTAAGAGACATAGTTTGACATAAAATTAAAGAAAAACACCCTCCTGAGACCTGAGTATCTCAATGCGTCCCTGAGAGACATCCCTGCTCTATCCTCGGATTAATTTCTAAACTGACTCTATTGGGTACTTATTTCTGTTTTGCACTCATGTTGTAGGAGACCAAGTCACCAGCCCTCCAAACATATTTTTCCTTCCTGTTACTACTTCCGTGGGTTGATGTAAATGGAGAGGAAACTTCCAGAAAATAACTTCATCCCTCTGTTACTTGATGGCTTCAATGGCTTATCATCATTCAGTAACTTAAACACTTGATATTTAAACATCGTGTTATGTTTTTTCTCCCAACTGAGTCAGCCACGCTGACAGCTGCTTAGTATTTGGAGCAGCACATGGCCCTCATTCGGGGGACACAGAATTAGAAGAAGGAACATCAGCCTGAGAATTCAGTGTCAAAGGGTGTAGTAAGCTTACCAGACACCAACTACGTGACTTCAGGCGTTAGCATCCAAGTAGTGCTTTTTTCTAAGGGAAAAGTGGTTTTAAAACATCTTTTGGCCCTTTATGGCAGGAACAGGCTTGTACTCATGTGTGTGTCCTCTGTAAGTGTTTGGATACTGACTTAACACAGCGGGTTCCATGCCTTGTGTGAATGGAATGTCCCCAAAGAGTGATTTTTCTCCCATTTTAGTTCTCATGAGACTCTAGAATCATTACTGGTTAAACACCCAAGAACAGTATGATAATATTTGCCATAAATTCAGGAAAGCAAAAAAAAAAAAATAATAACAACAAGGGCAGTAAAATAAAATGAAGAAAAAGAGACAAGGAAGAAAAAAAGGGGAAATGGGGGGGAGCTAAGAGGAAAGAGGGAATACTGAAAATAATAGCAACCAAAGTCCTATCAAGTCAGTGAGCCTAAGTGACATATTTATTAATAACCCAACATAAAATAATCTCTTAATAGTCGAAACATCTTATTTCATTTTTAAAGGGAAGTGCAAACAACCCTATGTTCAGAAATGCACACAGTTAAATTTGACAATAAAATGAGCACGTATGAAAGGATTTGATTTTATATACAAACCAGGCAAATGCTCTGTACTCACCGTGTAAACAAAGTTTCCCAACAGCAGATAATCGGAGGTTTTCCCATTTCCAAATACATTACCTGCATGACAAGAAGAGAGGCTTATTAGAAATGGAAATCAAAGAGATCCTTTCAGAATTCTTTCAAAGATAAATCAATTTATAATTGTTGAACAAAAGAAGGGGAACCAAGTGTCACACCACAGAATCAAACTAGGCTAATTAAAAAAAATTATAAGAAGTTTCACAAAGTTGTTACACATGTGGGTCACAAATTAAAAACAATTTTTCAATAGCCAACATGAAGGAGGAAACTTGACTTGTTAACCAATCCTCAGGATCCATGAGGTGGAAAAAAAAAAAAATCAAACTAATTGTTCAAGGAAAGCCTAATTCTACAGGCATTGAAGACAGGAGAAAACATCCTGAACCTTACCAAAGAACTTTGTTAACAATATAGATGAGAATCTTAGGGAGCCTTCTTGCTTTCTCTCAATGAAGTTGTTGGCATCAGACCAAAAGGGATTCATAAATGCAAACCACAGAAGACTGAATGAAGAGCACCAATATGGTTCCAGGCATATGGCTCTTGGAAGGTTTGGCTGAATTTAGGCAGATATTTTAAAGTATTTTGTTACCCAGCAATGACTAACAACTGTGGGTTTAGATGAAGGGCATGGTAGCTAACAAAAATCATGTACTGATTAAAAAAAAATAAAAATAACTGAATAATTAAATCATTGGCACCATGGAATAATAGTAAGAAACCCCATACATATTTTATATAGATTTTATAAATATTTCCCCAAACAAAAAAGGTTAGTGAGAAAATTGGCCTTGTTTTATATTTTTATAATCTCTTTAATGTCTTGTTCAAGAGAAGGCAGCTGGATTCTCATATTCTGGTTGAAATATATGAGGGAAATTCAGCTTCACGGAGAGGAGTGTTTTAATAATCTTTTCTCATGAGTGTGGATATTCTTTGATACTACATCAAAACTCGACAAGTGGTTTCTTAGGGGTTAGTTATAGTGTGGAACCTGAAATTGTATTGTAAACTTACAGTACTCTATTACATTAAAGCCAATGGCTCCCCTTGATGCTTTGGGTGGATCTTCAACTCATGCAGGATTCTGTAACCTCATGAAAGCAGCTGGTGCACCTCACAACTCGAATGGTCCACAGGGCATCTTGCCTGGTATGACTCTCACTGGAGTGCAGAAGGGCTTTCTGCTCACTTCTCATTGTGTCACGCAGAATATTAATGAGCTGTGCACCAGGTTTCAAGATGTAATAAATGTCTTGGTTTTACAGCTTCTTCGAGGGCATTCTTAAGTGAGACTGGCTTTGGTTGTTGTTTCCTTAATGTGGGTGCATGGCAGGGAAGAATATCATGCCCACTAGTATAGTGGAACCACTATTTGTGCTAAGGTACCAGCAGTTTTACCCACCCTTGCGTGAAAAAGAAAAATAATGTCTGGATAATACTACAAAAATTTTGAAATTTTGACATCAGGTACCCCAAAAAGGTCATCATGGGTATTTATAAAGGTGTCTACAGGCCGTACTTTGGGAACCGCCGAAGCGAGTGAATTAACGCATATTTAGCTGCACTTTCATATACTCTTATATTTGTGTACCCCATCCTTTCAAAAGCCAAAAAGACCCCCAAACCTCTCCTTATTTAAAAGTTAAAAACAAGGCAAAACCCCAACAAACCCCTCAACATTAGAAGGTTAAAATGTAATTTATGCCATACGCCATTCATGTCTTAAGAAGAGAAAGCACGTGTGCCCTGGACTTGGCTAGATCTGGGTTCTCCAGGCGGCACCGTTCATGAACTGCCTCCGCTGAAGGTGGCAGGCTTGGGCAGTCTCCCAGACAAAGGCCAAGAGAGCCCTAGGATCGGCTCTCCAGGAGCTGGAGTTACTTGGGAATTCCCTTCAAACCCTGTCACTTGTGAAGGCATTTTACGTGTTATTTGGCTTGAGATACTTTTGATATTAAATTTCCTTTTTCTATTTTTCTCTTGCTGTTGAAATAGCAAGAGATGGACATGCCTAGTCTTTCATACCTATATTGATTTTGCAATTTGAAAATAAACTTTACCTAGAGAAATTGTCTAAGCCCCTATATGATACAATATCCCGTGGCTTCAAAGAGTGGAAACAATCTAACTGTCCATCAACAGATGTGGGGATAACCAAAATGTGGTAAATCCATACAAGGGAATATCATTCATCCATAAGAATGAGTGAAGTACTGATTCATGCTGCAACATGAATGGACCAAGGCCGCATATTCCATGATTCCATTCTCCAGAATAGGCAAATCCACAGACAACAATTAGTGGTTGTCGGGGACTCGGGGTGAGGAGCAATGGGGAGTAATTACTAATGGGTGTGTGGTTTCTTTATGGGGTGATGGAAATGTTCTGGCCTTGGATCGTGGTGAATTTGTACAATTCTCTGAATACACTAAGAAAAACCCACTGAACTGTACAATTTAAAAGGGTGAATTTTATGGCATGTGAATTATATCTCAAAAAAAAAAAAATCCATTGTGGTTCTCCTGGCCTACTAGAGTCAATAGGCTGTAGTTTAGTTGGATTTTCTTACCACTCATTTCCATGGCTTAGAACATGAGAAGTATGCTGTGTACCGGCAGAGAAATTAATAAAGAAATGAGATGAAAATCTTTGATTAGGACACGAAGGGCCCTGCCCTCCCTGTAACACTCATCCCCTGCAGGCCCTGACAGATTCCTGAGCGCCGGCGACTAGCTAGGCACTGTTCTAAGCCCTGCAAATACAGCCGTGAGCTACACTGACCATTCTCTGCTCTTTGGGAGCTTTGATTCTAACAGGGGAGAGAGACAATAAAAAATGAGCAAATATATCACACCCTGATTGGTGAAGATACCCTAGAGAAGATGAAGGATAATGAGGGGAAGCAACGGGGGCAGAGGAGGGCGGCGTTGGTGGCTCTCTGGGAGCACAGGCCTGAGGGAGTGAGGGGGAGAGCCAGCTGGACTAGAGGGGGAGGAGGGAAGAAGTGTAGGCAAGTAGCAGGCTGGATGGAGCATGGTGATGGGGGGGAGGTGATGCGGGGGTGGGGGGTAGGTTGGGGGGGACATGGTGGAGCTCCCTCAGGTGGAAGGATTAACTACAGTGAGTGCTGTGCATTTTGTTCTAAACTTGACGGAGAGAGGCGCCTGGTCTGGTTTACGTTTTGCAAGGACCACCTTGCCTGTGGAGAACAGACTGCAGGTGGGCAAGGAGGGATGGACAGGACATTCTTCTGTGGGCAGTCTTTAATGCCCAGCTGGCCAGGTAAGGCCTGTGCTTCTAAAAGACAGACAGATCCTCCGATGGAGTATGTGTCATGTTTTTATTTCCTGTCGTTTGGGAGCAGAGGCCCGGAGCGGCCGGCTGCCTTCCTGGGGATCTCAGGGTAAGGTCTGCTCGGGGGACACAGCATCCCAGGAAATCTCTTTTGTCGAGTGGCTACTTCATCATTTTTATGGGCATAGGAAATTCACCATGCTCTCCTCTCTCCAAACTGACAGAATAAAATTACTCCCTCAAAACAAGCTGAGGAAAAGCTTCCATTCCAAGATGAACATAAAAACATATGAAAAAATCTCATTCAAAACATCAGCTCACGTATACTTGAAAACAAACATTTCTGATCAGGTTCAGTATAAAGAGCTTGGTGCAAGCCTCAAAGGTATAATAAATGGACTACATAAAATATTAGCCTGTTGTCTTCAAACTATACATCAACAGAGGGGGAAGAAAGAGTTCTAAAATTTAACTCTCTGCAAGTTTGGAAAACATGAGAAGCAGAGAAGAAAGGCTTTGCATATATTAAATCACTTTGCTCCCAAAGGAATAATAAAAATCTTTAAAGTGTGTACAGCTTTTGGATGCATGTATTTTAGGTTAAGGAAAACAGCATAAAATGAAAATCTGCTATAATTTTTAACCTATATTGACAATGAGTTATTTTTCTAAAACCGTAAAAAGTCATCTCTTAGCATTCATATCCTTTCTACTTACCATACTGAAGGGCTTTTAGTGGAAACCAAAACAGAATAACTGAGTGGAAGAGGCCATTTAAACAATGAACCCAGAAAACCTGAGGGAAAACAAAAATCCATGAGAACCATTTGCGATAAACTAGCTCTGTGAACTCTGACCTTTCTTTTTATCTGTGAGCTAGATTCACAAAACGTGTTTCTGTCGGGCCACCACTGTGAATTAATAGAACTGACAGACACTTTCTGCCTCTTAGACCTTCATGGGTCATTTATTTATTTTTATGTTTCTCAAAATGTTTTTTCAGCTTCACTGAAAATTTTTTCTGCTTTTTAAAAACTGAGTATTAAAAGTTTAAATTTCTGCCTGAAAAAGAAAATAATATTTAAAAGAAATGTAGGTGCTGCAGTTCTTTAGGTGGGACTATTTTCATAATTCTCGAAGAACAGACTTTTGAAAAGACTGTAATTTGGTGAAATCCCTACTTTCTCTTTCCCATGTGCAGTAAAAGGGTACACTTTTCAATGGTGAGAATATAACGCATTCTCTCTTTCTCTCCCCCCACCCCTCCACACACACACACACACACACACACACACACACACACACTACATACCAAAAATAACAGGTATACCATTTAAGTCGTGTAATTCCTTAAAGCACCGTTGCTATTACTGAATTTGCAAAAGGCTTCCACAATTTTTAACACCTGTCAACATCGAACTTCCTACAATTATAACATCACTGAATAGTTATTACTTTTCTATATCTATTGTATTTTAAGAGCAAGGGACCATGTATCCCTGGTACTTTCTTTGTAGCAAGGATGTGAAAGATTAAGTTATAGAAAACCTGTTTAGAATTCCTATGGCCCTTTGAAGAGTTGCAGTTTTGTCATTTAAAAGTGCTTCTTGCAAGCAAAACTTACACTAAATAAAATTGGCATCGTATTAATAGTTTTAAGCTGTTCAAACAACAGAAATTAAGTTGCCTGCCTCCCCAAATTTTCCACCGTGATCTCAATCTCCTTTGTTAGTTCACCCAGCCACACTGGATTGTATGATCCAATTTACGCTCCAATACGTTACACATTTGAACTTGTGTTACTCATTAACCTTTGTCTCTTCTCCTCACTATGTCATTACCACAAGTTTTTATTTGACAGAAAGCACAGGTGGGTGCAAGAAAAATTAGTTCTACTTCTCCATTTTCCTGACCGATACTTATTGTCACATGCTAATCCTTTAACCCCTGTCAGGACCTCAGAACCTCCGACCCTTTTTACCATAACAAACGTAATCATCATCATTCAGGGCAACAATGCTCCTACACTGGGGACCCACAGCGACTGCTGTGTATACAACTCTGCATTTTGTCGCCATTTGTCCCTGAATTTTAAAACACTTAGAAGGGATTTAATCAAAGGTTTTTCATAGAAATCATTAGAAAATCCACATACGCTATAAAAAAATGGTTGGCAACTTATGTATAAATATTCAAAGGACAGAAGAGTTGCAAAATCCATTTGAGCTGATCTGATGACTTTTCAAAATGCATGGGCTCTGCAGATAATGAAATACTTTGTAAACAACAAAAGAACAGCAAAGGACCCAAGGAATGATGCTTCCACATTAAAACTACAGATTGTGTTTTCCTTGGCCGCAAGACTGTCCAAGTTGCCATGCGCAAAGGGTGTAAAAAGATGTGACTTTCCAGGAATAGCTTTGGATAATTCTGTGAGGATCGATTTATGTTTATAAGCAAGAGTACCATGGCGAAGTTTGTGGCTGGGAAGTTAATTCTTGAGAGAGCATCGTGGAGCCTGAGCTATGGTAGACTGGATACTTGTGGCTGAGGTTGATACAACTGTCCAGGTCAGTGAGAATTACTGTTACTATGCCAGTAGGCCTGAACTTTCTCAGCTCTCAAATCTCCTTTTCCGAAAAACAAGAGTTCACAGTCCACTGTATCTGTCCTGACTGTGTCTTACCATTCTTTGGAAATACCCACCACAGATAACAAAAAACATTACAGCAAGGTGGTGATATTTAATATAAACTGGACATCATAGGTAAATTTCAAAAAAAAAAAAAAATCCCAAAATAAAACATTAAAAAATAAAAGCATAGATATTGCATACTGTAACTACTAATTGTTTTAAGAGACCATTAAAAATACTTCTCAGAACCAATGGTCTAAGACACTTCTCAGCTTTTTTTTTTTTAATTAACCAAGTTCAGTTATTTAAAACAATGCGAACAAGTTGTGTTCGCACAACTTGCACACCTGGACACGCATGCACAGTGAGTTCAGGAAGACCTCGTCTCAGAAGATGAATAACATCCTGGCTATCAACTTGGCACTGTCATTTACAGCTTCGAGGAGCTGAAGCACCTGTCTGCTTTATTCTCTTGGTATACTGAGAATAAACATCATTTGAGAGCTTTGCAAATTAATAAACATTAAAAATATCCTACATTAACGGTCCTAAATTCGAAGCACTGATTACATCTGATTATTAGAGACACGCTAATAAACATGCACTATATTAGATGGGAATAGTTCTGTGAAGGTGTATTATATTTGTTGCTTTTATTATAGTTTCAAAATGGCATCTGCCTTGCCTGGTATAAAATTAAATATTTTTTCTCTCTGAACAGAAACCTGAATGACTAACAAATGCCATTGGAAAGACTTCAGAATCTAAACTTGGAGGAAAATGAGATTTTTTTTTTGTTGGGATGAATAAATACCACGGACCCCAAGGGATGACAAATAGTCCATGATGTGTTATGTAGGATATAAACTTAGAATGTGATTTTAGATAAAATGTTAGATATTTTATCTTGTATTTAAAATTTTATGGCTTGGAAATACTGAGTATTATGACTAAATGAGTTACTGACCAGAGATTATAATGCAATCTAATATTCTAATAGAGTCAAAGTGATTTTGCAAAACAGAAAATTAACAAAGAATGATATATGCCCCTCTCCGCCCCCCCACCACTTTACACATGTAAAGACAGACCCTGTGGGTCCTGGATGACTGACCCCTGCGAGGAGTGAGCCTTTCCCCACAACACTGCAAAGATAGAAAGTCTGAGGGCCAAAAGGACACTCGTGTCTGTCTTTCAGACCCAATTTACTGCTGCCTGGCAAATCCTAGTGAACTGTGGTTATGCATTAATTTTATAAGAAAACAAACAAACAAAAACCCTTCTGAGTCCACATCAGAACCTTCGGGAAAGATGACTTGCCACACTCAGAACCCTGGAGTTTGTTTCCATGGCTTTGGAAGACCAGATGCCCCATGGAATTAAAACAGTGAAGCGAGTCCCACTGCCCACCCCAAATGTGCCGGGCCAGTGTGTCCTACCTTGGTGTTGAAGTCCAGGGCATTCTGAGATGTTTTGTATAATTCAGGATACTTCAACATATTCTCTTTTCTGCATGATCTCTCAAATATTCCGAGAGTTAAAGGAGGCATTGCTGTAAACATCTAAAGGGCACACACTGGTCATTACTCCAAGCAGTCTAATGCAGGGTGAACCTTTATCTCAAAGTATTTAATAAAACAGGAATAATCAAATGTCTTAAACTTACCACATTATAAAGACCTATACACCATCTCTCAAAGAGGATCTGTCCAGAAAAGCCATTAACAAAGGCAAACCAGATCTAGGAAGAAAACAACCCCAAACCCCCCAAATTAGAACACAAAAAAACATAAATGCATTGCTTAGAATCCAAAAACTCAACTGCTGCATAACAGCAGTATTAACATAGGATTTTCACAACTTTCTTGAAAATGGCATTTCTTTGTTTTGCTTTCTAATTTGAAGGGATGCTTTCAGAAGGTATTTGTTATTTAAGTCAGAATTAGTTTCAGTCAAAAAGGAATATTAATAGGCAATCATACATTTAAAAAATTAAATATAACCTTATTTTCTAAAAGGCAGTTTAGGGAATATATTTTGTCCTTATATTTTTAGAGCTTTAATTCCTTTTTAAAATATTTATCTCTTGGTAATTAAAGAGAGAAATATATCTTCGTAATTAAAGAGATAAATATCTCTTGGTAAAGAGATAAACTGTTGTTTTGATTATATAAAATAACACATTTGTTTAGAAAATGAAATGATTTCCTCTAATAATATAATCACAGTTTTCTTCTGTGTTGGCTACATTCATATTGGTCATTTATATACACTCACAAAGTTACTTTACTGGAAACTTGGTTTATATAGTGTCCTGTTGTGCTCCTTTCCTGCTGAACATTATATAAAATAAATTTTCTTAAGTTGTTACATATCCCTTAAAATGAAACTAGTAGATGTACATCCTCTATAGAGTGACTATAACTATTTTGGGATATTTAGTTTGCTTTCAGTTTTTGCCATTATACATAATTCTGAACAAAATATTCTTGTACAGAAATCCTATACATCTCTATTTTCTAAGGATGGATTATTTTTTTTGTAAATAAAAGCTTTATTAAGGTATAATTGGTATACAAAAGACTGCACACAGTTAATGTATACAATTTGCTAAGTTTGGACATATGTGTACACTGGTGAAACTGTCACCATAATGAAGGTAATATACATTATCCATCACCTCCAAAAATTTTCTTGTGGCCCCCCCTTTTTAAGGATAAATTCTTAGAAGTAGAATGAATGGGTTAAAGTTTATAAACTTTTTAAATATTTCTTGATAATTATAGCCATCTGAAAGTGAAATTTGAATTTATATGTTAAAAATACTTGGTCACTTGAATTTATGCCTTGATTAAGCATAAATCTTCATGTAATAAAGCATAATGTTCTTCTTAAAAACAGCAGCCTTAACTTTGGATACAAAATGAAAGGCAATATAAAAAAAACTTTCTCTAACATGTTTAAGACAAACGGAAAATTTAAGTGAATATTAGTAAGTCAATAATACATGGATTGCTTTTAGAAAAGCAGACCTAAGATGTAATTAAAAATCAAGTTGATTTGGAAGAGTAAAAAGTCTAGCCCGACAAGGAGATTACGTAAACACACAAAACCAAAGCAAAACAACAACAACAAAACCTGTTGCAGGAAAGGAGTCTTGACATGCCAGTCAAGTGAATTTTTGAATCAGAGTTGCAGGGACTTTGCTACACTTCACGTTTCATTTAACCTCATTATGGAAGCATGAATTGCTACAAATTCACCATTTATCAATATGTACCCAGACTGGCCTCCCTATGAAAAGCTTCTGTACCCACATTGATCTTTTTCCTTTTTATAGTGGAAAGGAATGATTGAACATATATAAAAACGAGTGTCTGCTTCATGAGATGGAAAAGAAAACAAAGCAGCATAGCACATGAAAAATAAGTCCAAATTGTGTTAGGGTTGTAACACACATTACCAACAACAATAACAGAAGCATAGGAATCAGAGTCAAATCTGAAATTCTTGCTTGCTTTGCTCCATCTGTTTACAGAAAAAAAACTGAACATTTGCCCTAGACTAGGAGCCAGGTCATTCATTTGTGCATGCTTTAAAAGAACTTAGCATGTTTATACGAAGTTAGGTTTATTCCTTAGAGTGGTGCTGCTGACTTTTTTTTTTTTTAAGCTTAAGTAGACACAAGGTGACAAGACGGGCTTTAATGCTCTCTATTGTGTTTTCACATTTGGCCTTTTTCAGATGTGGATTATGTAAATACATATTTGTGATACTCCGGGTGATAGTAATATTCTCCCTGAAGGGGACTGTGACTTATTGCAGCAATACACACTAAGAACCTCTTCGAGATATCTTAGAGTATGATGGAAATATGTGGAATTTTTAAACACAAAGTTTCAAATTATGGCCTCATTAGTCTATGAAGACGTGGTCCAATCACTGTTGGTCGGAAAAAAAGATGCATATCAAATTATCTAATGGATAGGACTTGGTTCTAAAGTTTATAGTCATAAATGTACCTGCAATCATCAATGCTATCCAATGAGAAAATTATGTTAAATTTGTGTGTGAGTAAACATTTGTAAATGTGAATGGTCTCTTAGCTTTGTGAACAGAATCCTTCAATATAGTACCCTACACCTTTATACAAATATTTTGGCATTCAAGTTTACATATTTTAAAGGAGAAAGAGAAGGTCTTTGATAGTGAAGAAGTCTATGGAAAGGCTGATTTCAAGCTAGTCTGATTTGTAGTTAAAAGATTTCTAATATTAGATTTCTAATATTCTAAAAATATTTCTAATATTAGAAACATAGCCTGTACTAAATGAAACAACACCTAAATGACTATAAGCACATAAAAGCCCCTCCTTTGACTCAACCAGAACCATGGATGCAGAAAGAAAATACCAGTCTTTCTGGGGAGGTATGGAGATTATTTAAATTCACAAGAAATCCATATTCCAGCACAATGTGCTCGGAAAGTATCACCTCTTTGACTTTAATCAAAGCTTCTGGAACTTAGAAACACTACACTGTTTTGGGATCTTAGCAGAAAACCTGGATGAGACCAATCATTTGAAAAGAAAAGGTCCTATTTTGCTAGGAAGGAGTCAGATTATTTCAGAGGAAAAAAATCCCTTTAGAAAAGAGCCAGTGATTTCAATGAACACCTAGGGCTGCTTCTGGGCGGCCACCACAAGTAAGGATTTTATCCTGCACCTGCCAAATCTGTGTGTGCGTGTTTGGCTGTAATTTATGGCAATGGAGAAGCCAGACAGTGACGTTCCTGCTGGCTACAGCAACGGGAAAAGCACTTGTTGCCGATAATCTATGAAACCCGTAGCATTCCAGGCCATTCCTTTATTAGCAAAGAAACTTCAGACCTGCCTCTCCTGGTATTATTTTCTGAGTTCCACGTCCCGGCAGAGGCGTGGCAGTTAAAGCTTCACAGACATTTTCCTCATGGAGCATTTCTGCATGTTAAACAGCAGCTTACAAACAGTCAATGAGTCCTCTGCTCCCACGCCTGATCAGCACAAAAAACTGAAAGGAGAGATTCGAGACTGGCAGTTGTCCTCACTAGAGACACCCAGCGATGTGTTCTCTGTCTATTCACTCATGGGAGTGACATGAGCCATTAACATCTGCAGAACTTGTTTTAGCTGGCAAACGTTGGGTATCTGGGAATTGATTTAAAAGGTCAATTCCTGTCCAAGACAGTTGAATTATATTCAAAATATATTTTTATAAAGTGCTAAAAGAAAAATACCTTAAAAATGAGATTTCCCATAGAGTTTAGGACCTACTTCCTTTTCCATGCGTAAAGAATTTGATCAATGCTAAATATCTCACGAAGAGGCTTTAAATTCAAAGCCAAGTGAAATTTAGGGCTAATCTACCACAAATCACATAACTCTGGATCTGAAACAGAGCGTGCAGTTTTAGTCTTTCATGTGAGTTTAATATATTTTATTTCCCCCATTAGTACGTAAGTTTTGCCCACTTCATTGTTGATTGTCAAAAATCTAGGTTTTTAAAAAGCAACAAGTTGCGCACTCATTTCATTTCATAAAATTAAATTTTTTTAAGCAGATTTATTGCTGTCAGTGGCTTTAAACTCCTGGTATCTTTGAACGTATTTGTAAATAACTGTACAAACTGATACTCTTTTGAATATCAATGTTTGGGATGAGAAGAAAATACAATTAAGAAAAACTAGAACTATAGAGGGGATTGGGAATCAAAAATTATTATTTTAGAAAAGAACCACAAATTTACACATACAACAAAGAATGTATCTGTTTTTGGACCTTATAAGCTATTTTAGAAGTGCATTTTGCTTCAAAACACAGACTATTCCAGACAAAATTCAGCAGTAATGAACAATAAACTCATGGATTATCCTGTTTATGTCTCCAAGTACTTGATTATTTTACCTAATGGGTTGTAACCTAATTATAGCATTTTCGTGGACCAATAAATGAAACTGCCTGCATACTTTGAAATTAAGTTTCAAATTTTCCTAGCTTGTCTCATAAGAACCATGCTCAGTCAACATTTTAATAAGGAGATAAGCATTCTGACAGAGGCATAAAGAATGGCTGAACGAAACAGACAGCAGCTCCCAACTAACCATCAGTAGCGTAAATGTGAGATCCACGGATTTTTTCTTTGTTTATAGTGTTACTTCTCTAGTGTAAAGTACGAGATAGTCTTTCCGTTTGGCAAATGGTTAGTTATGTCTCTCCTGACAGATGTGTAGAAAAAGCAGATTAGAGGGCAGGGTGGCATAAGCAGACGTGTGTGAGGGAGCCCTGGGCAGATTTACGAGGGTGTGGGCAGGTCCCCAGACAGGAGTGGAAGACGGAGGGTTTTCTTAACAAGCTACGGGGCCCTTATCCCCATGCTGTGTGGAGCAGCAAGGAGAGCAAGAAGCTGATAACACCTACTAGAGTTTAAGTATTACAAATACAGCTTCTGATGATAAAATGGCTATATGTTTAAAAAAAAAAAAGGTAAATAATTTCTCTATCATGTCCTGGTTAATCATCTAGTTCAATTTATCCACAAGTGTTGTGCTGTCCAGTATGGTAGCCATGGGCTACATAGGGCTCCTGAACACCTGAAATGTGATTAGTCCAAATTGAGATGTGCTGTTAGTGTAAGATACACACCAGATTTTAAAGACTTAGTATGAAGAATGTAAAATATTGCATTCATAATTTTGTTAAAGTGATTACAGGTTGAAATGATAATTCTGAATATACTAAGATAAAGAAAATGTCATTTTAAAATTAAACCGGGCTTTAATTTTTACTTGTTGTTAATGTGGTTCCTAGAAAATTTAAAATGACACATATGGCTTACGTTATATTCTATTGGCAAGCTCCTGGAGGACAGGAACCATGCTTGATTTACTTTGTCGTTGCTGAACTAAGCCTGGTGTCTGGCACCCAGCAGGTGCTGCAAAAATGTTTATAAAACAGAATGCCGGGGCACCTGGGTGGCTCAGTCGATTGAGCATCTGCCTTCGGCTCAGGTCATGATCCCAGGGTCGTGGGATCGAGCCCCACATTGGGCTCCCTGTTCAGCAGGGACCCTGCTTCTCCCTCTGCCCCTCCCCCTGCTTGTGCTTGTGCTCTTTCTTGCTGTCAAATAAATAAAAATAAAATCTTAAAAAAACCCAGAATGCCTCCTTTTAGAGGTGACATCCTTGACCTGGGTTAAGTTTTAATTTTAGTAATAATGTTCTATATGGTACCAGAAAAGGAATATAGAAATCTGTTGCCATCCAGACATAGGAACTGAATGTTCTGATAATTTTTAGACAAATTCCTCATTATCTGAACTCTCGCTACCTACCAACCAACTCAGAAGCCAAACTGGTCTGGATAGCAAGGCATACTTGTATATAAGTAAGTTTGAAACACAATAAGAACTATGAGATGACCAATACGAGCAAAACTATGTGTGTATCCTTCCTGATTCTACCCCTTAGAATTGCTACCCTCAATTTTATGTCTGTCATTCCCTTAGTTTCTTTTTAAATAGTTTTCCACGTGTGTATCCTTTTTTTTTTTTTTTAAAGTTTTATTTATTTATTTGAGAGCGAGAGAATGAGAGAGAGCGAGTACATGAGAGGGGGGAGGGTCAGAGGGAGAAGCAGACTCCCTGCCGAGCAGGGAGCCCGATGCGGGACTCGATCCAGGGACTCCAGGATCATGACCTGAGCCGAAGGCAGTCGCTTAACCAACTGAGCCACCCAGGCGCCCACCATGCGTGTATCCTTAAACAGTGTACTGCTTTCTCTAGTATGATCTTGAGCTTTATAAAAAAGGCTATGAAGTTTGTGCTCTTTTTTTTTTTTTTAAAGATTTTATTTATTGGGTGCCTGGGTGGCTCAGCCGGTTAGGCATCTATCTTTGGCTCAGGTCATGATCCCAGAGTCCCGGGATCGAACCCCACCTTGGGGGGGCGGTCCCTGCTCAGCAGAGAGCCTGTTTCTCCCTCTCCCCCCATGCTCATGCTTTCTCTCTCTTTCAAATTAATAAAACCTTTTATTTACTTATTTGACAGAGAGAGAGAGAAAGAGAGAGAGAGAGCACAACTTCGGGGAGGGGCAGAGGGAGAAGCAGGCTCCCCGCTGAGCAGGGAGCCGGACTCGGGGCTCGATCCCAAGACCCCGGGATCATGACCTGAGCTGAAGGTAGACACTTAACCAACTGAGCCACTCAGGTGCCCCAGTCTGTAGTCTCTTAAAAACTGAAAACATTACTTCATTAATTCTAATTCAACATAACTTACCAAAACAATGTAACATTTTTAGCCAGAAAATTTAAACATTCATCATTCTCTATGGCCAACAGACTTCAACATGTTTGGAAGTTATAAAAAGTGGGCAAATGAAGGATTCACTAGAACAATGAGAACTTTTCTTTAAATATATATGCACTTGACAAGGATTTTAAGCTTAACCTGCGATTACCTCAATAATATAGAGGACTATATTCTTGTAGAAGCAGTACAAAATGCACTTGGAGACTCTGTTATAGTTCCAGGCACCATGCACCATCAATAAATTCTTCAAGTACTTGAACTAAAATAAAAGTAGAAAAGAATTAGTGTTTTTCTCTTCCTACTGTCAGCTGAGTACTCATGCTGTGTTCTGCAGAAATGCTGCTTTACCTGGGCTATGGAGTAATCGGAAGAATTGGCTGCCTGAAGGCCTTCATTGCCACTTATACCAACACCAACATGTGCTGTCTGTATCATGCTGACGTCGTTGGCTCCATCACCGATTGCCAGCGTTATGACTTTGACTTGTTTCTTAACCATCTCAACAACTTCAGATTTTTGAAGAGGAGAAACCCTTAAATAGAACAAATTATCAATTACCTGTGCTTTCTGGAAAAAAAAAAGGAATTTTGAAATGTCATTGTCTTGAAGGAGAAAAGCAGCAGAAGATCCAAAAGAAGAGTTCTGTGAAATACCATTATGGAAAAGTCTTAGGTTTGCAAACGCTCAGGTCTTTATTAACCTGGCTGCCGCTTTAAGGAAAAAGTCAAGTCTAAGACGCAAACCTCTAGGTGATAGGTAGAAGCCACAATGCCCTGTTAAATGCTATTTTACCAGAATGGTTGCATTACTTTGTTAAAGAAATAACACTGGAGCTTAGAAATTCCATTACTTCCTAACAAATAACATCGAAATTTCAGATTCTTCACTTGTGAATGAAAAAGGTCAGAATGGTAGTTTAAATACTATACGAATTAAATCCTATACTGTACCTGGAAGATAAAAGTTTTGAGCCTCTGGAAGCAGTTGTTAGATAATTTACTAGATATACATTTAAAACAACTTAGAACTCAAATTAACAGTAGGGAATTGGCTAACCTCTCGACCTGTGCTCAAATACCATGATGAATCAACCAAAATAAACTCCAAATGCCTGATTACATAGTCCATGTGCCTCCATTTTCTTCCAAAGTTACTAACGGCCAAGTGGAATCAAGCAAGCTTTTTTTTTTTTTTTTTAATTTGCGAGAGAGAGAATGAGAGGTAGCACGAGAGGGAGGAGGGTCAGAGGGAGAAGCAGACTCCCTGCTGAGCAGGGAGCCCGATGTGGGACTCGATCCCTGGACTCCAGGATCATGACCTGAGCCGAAGGCAGTCGCTTAACCAACTGAGCCACCCAGGCGCCCTCAAGCAACCTTTTATACAGACGTGGATCAGGAACAGAGAACATCAGCATCTGTACTAAAATCATATTTGGTATTAACTTCGGATCAGTGTACCACAGACTTTTAAAAGCCACTCAAGAAATAAACCCCATGACAATGAGGGAAGGGTTCAAAGACAATACGCATCAGCGTCATCACTATATCATCCACAATTACTGCCAATTAAAAGAGGAAAACTAAACAGTGAACTGAGTCAGTGAACTATGAAAACAGTAATTAAACATGAAGAAACAACTAACACACACCATATTAGTGGTCAAGAAAAATAACTCATTTAATTCTTTATCAAGATGAAGTGGAATAGGTGTCTAATACATATCTGTTGGAACATCTGGTAAGTCATTTATTACTCTACATAAGAATGGAGACCATTACTCTGAAAAACGACATCTTGCAATTTTCCTGATTATTTCCTTAGGAATAATTCCTAGCACAGATAGGTAGCTTTAGGAGGCCTTTCTGCCCTTCTGAAAGCCTTCCATCAGGGCAGCCCGGTTTTCATTTCAAGTTTGAGAATCATTACATGAGACTGTGAGTTACTTGCAGAGTGAACCAGTCTCCTCATCTTTGTATTGCTGGTGCTGATCCAGAATAGGTACTCAATAAATGGTTGCTATATGAAAGAATTATGTTTAGGGCGCCTGGGTGGCTCAGTTGGTTAAGCGACTGCCTTCGGCTCAGGTCACGATCCTGGAGTCCCGGGATCGAGTCCCATGTCAGGCTCCCTGCTTGGCAGGGAGTCTGCTTCTCCCTCTGACCCTCCCCCCTCTCATGCTCTCTCTCTATCT